CTGGGGCCCTCCGGAGCCAGCGGTCCCGTTCTGGGCTCGTCCGGGATCGCCCCTGGGGAGCCGGACGAAGTGGACAAGTTTAAAGCGAAGTTCCTGACTGCCTGGAACAACGTCAAGTACGGTAAGGAGGGGGCGGGCCCAGGGGGTGGGTTCTGGGGTGCGAGCGAGCCGTGGTTTCCGCCAGACCGGGGGCTTAGAGGTCAGTGGGAGTCAAGGAACCGGACCCTGTCCTGTATTCCGTGTATACACCATTTGTTCTCCAGTGAGTCACCTGTGGGTCCCCCGCCCTGCCCTGCCCAGGGCGGATCTGTGGCAGGTCGTACAGGGAATGTGTTTTCAAATCTTGACCTTGAACAAGCATTTTTGCTTCCCTATGCTTCTGTTTTTCCCTCCTGTAAAATGGGTACAGTAATTAGAACTGCCTTAGTTTATCCTGAATTGATGGCAAACATTGATGTGGCTGCACCTAGGGGCCCCACTTCCATCTAAGAGGAATATGACATGAACTCCCCAGTGCCACCACTGAGATGGAAAGTAGTGCGGTCCCCATTTCACAGATGGGGGGATGGGAGCACTGTTGTTGTCATAACTGTTAAGCTGTGTGTCCCTTATCTCGCTGCCCCACGTCTCTGCAGGTTGGGCAGTCAAAAGCCGGACCAGCTTTAGCAAGCTCTCCAGCGTCCACCTCTGTGGCCGCCGCTACCGATTCGAGACTGAGGGTAAGCTGGTGCCCCCAGGCCAGGGTTGGGGGAACCCCCAGAAGTGTTCCTGGTGGCAGTTAACAAGCCTATTCTTGTAGGTGACATCCAGCGTTTCCAGCGGGACTTCGTGTCCCGCCTGTGGCTCACATACCGCAGGGACTTCCCGCCCCTTGCTGGGGGCTATCTGACCTCGGACTGTGGCTGGGGCTGCATGTTACGCAGTGGGCAGATGATGCTGGCACAGGGCCTCTTGCTGCATTTCCTGCCCAGAGGTGAGGGGCGGAGCGGGAAGGGCACACCAGGAGTATGAGCCAACCACATAGGTCAGCGGTGTTAGAACTGTTTGTAAACTAAGAGTTTAAATTCATGTTAGATTTGTGTGTAAAGTAAGTTTTGGGGGTGGAGTTAGAGTCGTTTGTTTCAGGAATGTGAAAATTGTTAAACATGGGGTCTCGGGAGCATTAGAATGGTTTGTAAAGTGTGAGTAAATGGGAACTGTGCCCCCTCACATTGGCACTGGTTGACTATGTACTCCATCCCCACCAGACTGGATGTGGGTCAAGGGCGTGGGCCTGGACCCCCCTGAGCCATCAAGATTGGCCTCTCCCTACTGGCACCATGGGCCTGCCTGCTGGATACCCCCTCACTGGACCCAGGGCTCCCCTGAGCTGGAGCAGGAACGCCGGCACCGACAGATTGTGTCCTGGTTTGCCGACCACCCTAAAGCCCCCTTCGGCCTACACCAACTGGTGGAGCTTGGGCAGAGCTCAGGCAAGAAGGCGGGTGACTGGTATGGGCCATCTCTCGTGGCACATATACTCAGGTGAGGGCTGCTGCAGGGGACACAGGAGCCAATGGGTAACCCCAGGAACTCAGGCCATTCCTCCTGCCCCCAGGAAAGCTGTGGAGAGCTGCTCAGAGGTCACCCACCTGGTGGTGTATGTTTCTCAGGACTGCACAGGTAAGGGGCTGGGAACCAAGGTTACGGGGTTCTCGCCCTGAGTCAGTCACTACCTCAGCTGCCTCTTAGGACCCACCTTTCTCAGGCTGAAACAAATTCTGGATCAGAGGGACTCTTGGAAGGATTCAAGGCCCATGCAGAGGGAGATTCCTCAGGATCCCTCTACTCCCTCTGGATGCAGGAGAGGAAACTTAAGGGGCTGCTCCCTGAGTGATAGAATGAAGGACATAGGACTTTTTTCTCTCAGGTCCAATTAACTCTTGCTCTGTAAACAGTTCTAATAAGTACAAAAGTCTGGTCTCATTTGCCTCGTAGAGTTGTCATAAGAATTAAATGAGTCAATAATACAAGTTAAACCCATAGAGCAGTGCTTGTCACATAGTAAATGTTCATTAAATATTAGCAATGGTTGTTATTTTCTACCGTCCTCCTAATCAGGGAATCTACAAAAACTGGACATTTTTATGAAAAGTTTTGGGCAAGTTTCGATTTTTACAGAGGGCCATTGTTTTAGTCCATTTGGGCTGCTATAACAAAAATAGCACAGACTTATAAACAACAGGAATGTATTTCTCATAATTCTGGAGGCTGGGAAGTCCAAGATCAAGGTGCAGGCAAATTTGGTGTCTGGGAGGAGCCCACTCCCTGCTTTGTTTTGCTGTATCCTCTCATGGCAGAATGGGCAAACAAGCTCTCTGGGGTCTCATTTTTGTTTCTTTTTTTCCATTGAGGTAAAATTGACACAGAACATTTCAGGTATACAACATCATGATTTGATATTTTTATGCATCGCAAAATGATCACAATAAGTCACGTTAACATCTGTCACTGATACATAGTTTTTAAAAATTGGGGGGGTTATCTCTTTTATAAGGGCACTAATCTCATTCTTGAGGGCTCCACCCTCAGTGACCTAATCACCTCCCAAAGGTCCCACCTCTTCACACTATCACCTTGGGTGTAGGATTTTCGACATATGAATTTAGGAGGGACACAAGCATTCAGATCATAGCAGCTGTGTCTCCAGAAAGGGTTAAATCCACTTCTGGGCACCAGCAAGGGAGGAGGGGGAGAATAGAAAGCAGCAGATCAGACTTGAGGAGGAAGAACATAGGGATGTTGGGTTGAGGACTGCTGTGCTCCCAGTTCCGTATTGGCAAACCCAGGTGCCAGGTCAGTGAGGACGAGTCAGGCCTGGAACTGGGAATGGGCTCCGGGCTGCGGGGAAAGCTCCACCTCCTGGCTTTATGTTCTTCGTCTAGTTCTCAGGGCCTTGGTTGCTCTCTGTAAAATGGGAGTATCCACACTTGCCTGGTGGCCCTGGGATTGTCTGAGGGAGTTTGGGGGCTCTGGAAAGATGTGCTTCACTGATGATGGGAGCGTCACACCCCTCCCCGCACCAGATGTTACTTGGCTGAGGATGGGCCCCTGGGGATGAAGGGCCACAATGAAGCTTAAAGGACAATGAGAAGATGACCTGCTCCCCTGTTTTTCCAGTGTACAAGGCGGACGTGGCACGCCTTGTGGCCAGGCCAGACCCCACAGCCGAGTGGAAGTCTGTGGTCATCCTGGTGCCTGTGCGGCTGGGTGGTGAGACTCTCAACCCGGTGTACGTGCCCTGTGTGAAGGTAGGTTCGGCCAGATTTCACCATGTCTTCCCCTAGGAGCCCTCCAGGTTTTTCCAGCTTGCTGTAGGTACAAGTGCTCCCTTCATTCCTTCATCTGTTTATCCGATAGTTACAGGGCACCTGTAATGTGCCAAGCACTCTCCCAGCTGCTGGGGTTGCAGAGGTGAACAGGCAAAAATTTGTGCCCTCTGGGAATGGACATTCTAAAGGAGAAATGACAGGCAGTGGAACTGGAACCAAATAGATAGCTTTGGCATTACAACTCGGGACTGTAAGGGAACCAAAACTAACACAGTGAAGGGCAGGTGGGGGTGGCCGTGCAGCTTAGGAAAGCCCTTCTCCTGCCAGGGGCATGTGAGCCAGAGGAGAAGTGCTCCAGGCAAAGGGAACAGCCAGGCTGCAAAGATCCTGGTGTGTTTACATTCCGAATAAAGGCCGTGGATCTTCCCACAGCTCCCAGGGTCCCAAACTATCTCCCTGTCCCTTCCTTGACCTCGTCTGTGCCCACTGTCTTCACTCGTTCTGCCTCAGCCACACTGTTCCCAGAACACCTGTCTTGAGGCCACTTGCTATTTTCTAAGGTGCACTCTTAACTCATCTTTGCTGAAACATCACCTCCCAGTGAGGCCTTTCCCCTATTTATATACTGCAGAGCTCCCTCTCCTCCTCTGTTCTTCTCCCAGTGTTACCACCTTTTGACATATGACAACTTACTCATCTTGTTCCTTGTTTGTCTCCCACGCATCAGCTCCATGAGGCAGTCATTTCATTCTTGGTCGCTACTGTCCCCACAGGCCTGGGTTTGCACACATTGGACCTTTGCTAAGCATTCGTTGCATGATGGCCTGATAGCTCTTGCCATGGGTTCTCACCTCCGCCCACTCTGCCCCCTACAGGAACTCCTACGTTCAGAGCTGTGCTTAGGCATCATGGGGGGCAAGCCACGGCACTCGCTGTACTTCATCGGCTACCAGGGTAGGCCTGCCTCACCCAGCTCCATCCCACCCCCTCTCCCCCTGCTCCTCCACCCCACTCATGCCTCCTCCCCTGCAGATGACTTCCTTCTCTACCTGGACCCCCACTACTGCCAGCCCACTGTGGACGTCAGCCAGGCTAACTTCCCCCTGGAGGTGAGCTGGGACCCCCAGGGTAGGGGTTGGAGGCATGTAGTGGGAGCTGGGCCCCCTGAGTTTCCCTCATTTGTCTGCCAGTCTTTCCATTGCACCTCGCCCCGCAAGATGGCCTTCACCAAAATGGACCCAAGCTGTACAGTGGGGTTCTATGCTGGGGACAGGAAGGAGTTTGAGACACTGTGTTCAGAGCTGACCAGGGTGAGTGAGAAGAAGCAGGGAAAGGGACAGGGCTGGAGTGGGAGGCCTTGAGGCCAGCAGACGTGGGGAGACTATTTCCAGGCTGTGTTGTCATCATGCTGCCTAAAAGCTACAAAAGCCCAACTCTGAATAGACTCCCCCAAAAGGGGCATATGAAAAACTAGAGGCATTGCTGCCTTAGGGGATAGCTGCTTTCGGGAGCTCAAGTTGCAGGACCCCTCCTTATCTCTTAGCTTTGTGGTTCCATCAGGACTTTACAGCACGAGTTGGCACCTACTTCCCAGTTCAGTGGAAAGGGAGCCCCACTTTCCCAGCAGACATAGCAAAAATCCCAGGGCTGCCTTTCATTGGCTGCATTGGGTCACATGAGCCAATCACTGTCCTGGAGAACAGAAAGTACTAATTGGCTGGCCTGGGTCATCGCCTTAGAAGGATGGGAGTTGAGTTCAGGCAGCACTTTTTAAATATATTTGTTAGGATAACTATGCCTGCAAGATAAGTAACACAGCTACTGCTTTTGGGGCTGAGATGCTCTCTCCCTCCTCTCACCAGGTCCTCAGCTCCTCCTCGGCGACAGAGCGGTACCCCATGTTCACCCTGGCCGAGGGCCACGCTCAGGACCACAACCTGGACAACTTCTCCTCCCAGCTCTCCCAGCCAGCTCAGCAGCTTCCTCGAGCTGGGCGGCTCCTCAAGGCCAAGCGCCCAAGCTCCGAGGACTTTGTGTTTTTATAAAGGGACAGGATGGGGGAGAAGATGGGACAGACACTATTTATTTTTTTATGTCACGCTGGGTGTGGGAGCTTGAACTCTGATGATGGGACTTTCCCCTTCTCACCCTTTTGATAAGAGCAGCTGAACCCAGCCCAGAAAACCTCTAGGCTGGGTCCATTCAGCCAGGACAGAGCCCACAGGCCCGCCTCCTATCAGCTGGGCCCTTCTCACAGGGCAGGGAGGGAGGGTGGGCTCCTGGGCAACCACTCAGGGCCTGACTCAAGTACTGTAGTTTGCACTGGACCACCAGTGCCGTCACTGGTCTCAAAGCCCCAGTCCTGCCAAGGGCTGATGGGGGTACTGAAGCTGCTGGGGGCTAATAAAGCCATTTGACTTGACCTTGGCTATGGCTGGACACAGCATTTGAGAGATGGGCCCAGGGTATATCTCAAGGTGAGATTTACAAGTGGCCTGGGGAACTTGTTAAGTGGGCCTTAGCTTCCACATCTGGAAGACGAGAATTCTCCCTTGCCCGTAGGTAGACATTGCAGGTCTATACAGTTGAATAGAGGGGGATGTACTCAGGGGCTTGATTGGAGGTTAGGAACCTGAGGGCCCCTGCCTGCTCCATCAAGCTCAGGGGCCACTCTTGAGCCCCTGCTGCTTCCTCCGTTGCTGGCCCAGCAGGCGGAAGTACAGCCGTTTTGGATTGAAGCCAAAGGCCTGCAGTCTCTGACGGCTGAACTCATGCCCACCAAGCGTCACTGTGGGGCCCAGGAGGCGAGCCTTCTTGCCCCTCTTCCGCCTCTGGGGGACTGGTGGCTTCTCAGTGGATGACACAGGGGCTGCCTCTTCCTGTGCTGGGGGGCTCTCAGGCTGGGGCTGCTTCCCACAGGCCGCATCGGGTGCCAGCAGCTGCCCCTGTGGGCCAGCTTTGTCTCTCTGTGGTTTCCCTGTGGCTTCCGTGGGTGTGTCTGTCCTAGGGGAGGAAAGTCAGGGCTCAGCTTAGAGTGGACACGGTTAGGCCCATTCCTGGGTGCACATCCTTCATTTTACAGACGAGGAAAGGAGAGGCTAGGAGAGACGGCAATGCAGCAATTCAGGGGCCTGCCTGGAATTTAAACCCAGATCTGACGTAAGAACAGGAGTGTCGGTACTGAACCCTGAGGCTGGACAGTCACTGATAATTCTGGTATTTGAGCCCAGGCCTACACTAAGCTATTCACATAAATCAACTCATTTCAGATTTAAATCAACTCTGTGAACTATCACCCCTGCTTTATAGACTGGGGAGGCGGGGAACATGATAATAACGATACCAGCGTTTTAAGCACTTCATGTGAATTGATTCACTTAATCTTCAAAAAACCCAACAGGGTCTACGGCCATGCCACTCTGAACGTGCCCGATCTCATCTGTTCTCGGAAGCTAAGCAGGGTCAGCCCTGGTTAGTACTTGGATGGGAGACCACCTAGAAATACCAGGTGCTGTAGGCGGTAAAAAAAAAAAACAAAAAACCACCCAACAGGAAATGAGCCATCCTTATCCCTATTTTATAAATGAGGAAACAGGCCCCGAGGGGAAGCGACTTGCCCAAGGTCACACAGCTATAGCCCAGCCATGATCTGAACCCAGATCTCAGAGGAGGGCCCATTCCCGAGGTCATAAAACAGGTGGCCGACAAAGCAAGACCCAAACCCTGCAGAACCCTGCAGGCTCCCAGCCCACCCTCCCCGGGCCAGGGACACTCACTCCTCTGGGCAGAGAGACTTAAAGATCTGCCTCTTTTTCCATGAGTTCTGGGCCTTCCGGCTGTATGCTCTCTTGTCCTGAAGCTCCTCCTGCTCCGACCTGTGGGCACCCGGTGGACAGGCTTGTCACTGGGTGCTCTGGGAGGCGCCCATGCATGCCTGCCCACCCCTCCTCCTAAATACCTAGCCCAGCCCCACCCTGTCACCTGTACATGCAGGTCTTCTTCAGGGAGCACCATCGGTTCAGCTCTTTGTCATCAGCAGCGAGAATCTGTGTGGAAAGGGACAAGTAGGGTCCTGCTGCATGGGCCCCAGGGGGGTCCTGACTCTAAGCCCTAGTCACCTCATCAGTCAAAGCAGAGTACCACCAGCAGGGATGTCTTGACAGTGGGAAAGAACTGATTTCTGTGGAGGACAATCCATGTTTTTTGTGGAGGACATCAAATTGGGAAACAAGCATTGCCCCAAGTCACACAGCCAGGAAGTGGCTTATTACAGATTTCAGTTTGGGCCCGGGGCCCAGAGCCCCGGAGCCCTCATGCATACAACCACATACAACCACATTCCCAGCAGCCTCAGGACACGGGTCTCTATGCCAGTCACCAGACCTGCTAATATAGAGGAGCTCCAGGTTTCCGACCTCAAGGTTCCTGCCTCCAGGCCTCAGTTTCCTTATTTATGAGGTGGGCATCCCCTCAAAACCTATTGGAAGGTTCTTGAGAAGACAGAGTGAATGCAGATGATATGAGCTCAATAAACGTTAGTGCTTTTACTGAGCAACCACCGCCATCATGGCGAAGGGACAAGTGTTCAGAAAGCCGCACGTTTGTTTCAGGTCCACAGCCCTGAAGTGGGGGGTGTTATCAGGACCATTTATAGATGGGGAAACTGAGGCATAGCAAGGTCACACAGCTAGTGCGTAACTAAGCCAAGATTTAAACCCAGGCCATCTGGCTACAGACCTACCTCGTCTTAATGGCCACCCTGCTGCAGATATATGGTAACAGAATTAAAGGCAGTTGACTCCTTAACGACAGCGGTTTGAACTGCGCAAGTCCTATTATGCGGATTTTTTTCAATAAGTACAGTAAATAGTAAATGTATTTTCCTTATGATTTTATCACTTTCTTTTCTCTAGCTTACTTTATTGTAAGAATACAGTATGAAATACATATAACATAGAAAGACATGTGTTATTAACTGTTTATATGGTACCAGTAAGCCTTCCAGTCAGCATGTCAGCCTTCTGCATCTGAAGAGGTTGAATCCACAGATGCAAAACCCACAGTTGCGAAGGGCCAACTACAGTTGAGTTTGGGGGAACCAAAAGTTATACGTAGATTTTTGACTGTGTGGGGGTAGATACCCCTAACCCCCACATTGTTCAAGGGTCAACTGTAGTATTTATAAGGGGCTGTTTGAATGAAGCCTTGCCATCTCGCAGAAACCCTCTGAAGCAGGAAATACTAGTATTGTCATTAATACTATTATTCCTGTCATTTTTGAGATGAGGAAACAGGCAGTGTGGCAATACCAGCTGACTTGTGCTCCCTCTTACCTACTGCGAGCCCCCAAGTATGCCACACCCACCCAGGGTCCCACCTCCTCGGTGCTGAGCCCAAAGTCGCAGGGCACCACAGCGCGGTACTTGAAGCGGCAGGGCAGGTCGTCGATGATGTCCTCGTAGTCCAGCCGGTAATACTCATCCAGGTACTCCTCGAATGTCTTGTCCCCTGCGTGGGGAGAGAGCTGGGATGCCGGGCTGTGCCGGACTCTGCAGAGCCCCTGCCTGCCCACCGCCTGCCCGCCAGGAACCTCACCGGGGTTGAACACGGGCTTCTCCTGCCCCACGGCCGCAGCGAAGGGTGACTTGCGCTTCTTCTTACCGGCTGACGGGGGCTCACGCTGCTTCTTCCGTGGCTGCCTAGGGTCGTAGTCAGCATCCATCTGCCTTGCCAGGATATGTGGGTCAGTCCTGGGGGCTCTGGGATCCTCTGAGCCCCCGCCCCACCCTGCCCATGGCACTTACATTAAAGTCTGGGTCCTCGCAGTGCAGCTCCTGCTGGCTCCAATCTCCACCCTGCTGCAGCCCAGCCCACGTGTCCCAGTTCCAGTCGTCTGGTTCCAGAGGACAGACAGGCAGGGGTGGGCCCAGGGGATACAGGGTGGGATCACAGGCTTTGGGCCCAGCACTCCCACCTCAGCCCAGTGACCTCACCTTCAAGCCCTTCCTCTTCCTCAAACTGCGGCTTCTCCTCCTCCATGGTGCCATAGTACTCGTCCCCGAAGCATTTCTGCAGGGCCGGGGACCAGGAGGGTCAGCAGGGCCCACTCTTCTCCTACATGGCCCCCCAGTGCCCTCTTAGGACCCGGCCCCTGATTTAAGCCTGACAAAGCTGGTTAGGGGACACCTCTAAGACCTCGCCTCCCCCTGTGTGTCTCCATCCCCTCTCAGAACCCTGCAGGTTGTAAACATACACTTAAGTGCCTGCCACTAGGCTGGGGGGCTCTGAGAGGGCAGGGGCAGCTGTGCTGCTTGACCCTCGGCATACAGTAGGTGATCAATGGATGTTAGACTGGCTCTTGCCACTCCATGAGCTCTAAGAGGGCTGACACTGTATTGGGCCCAGTGGAGGCCTGACAGAGACAGATATTGCTAACCATGTCATTCATTGAGCACCTATTATATACCTAAGTTGGCTGCATCTTGCTGTATTTGTACTAGCACCCCGAGACAGAAAACTCCATTCTATTGAGAAACTAAAGCTCAGAACTGAGAAGCTTCTAGAAAGTGAAAGCTAAACTCTGACTACATAGCAACCCTCCTACTCTGGTTTTCACCTGACCAATTTATGTACCCTCAGTCCCCTTCCCTGAAATTCCAGGTATGGTCAGGCCTTTGGGGACCCTGTGGTCCCCACTGCTTCCCCCACAAAGCTCTCATTACCTGTTTCTGTGGCCTGATGCTATGTTCCCACGAACTCAATAAACATCAATGGTGCAATGAATGAGCTAAGAGAAATACAGCGACCCACTGTTCCTTCAAGATTTTTCAAAGAAACTTTTCTGAGTATTCCTCTCAAACCATCCTTACAATAGTTCTGCGATATATACTATGGTTAGACCACGTTACAGAAACAGCCAAAGGCTCAGAGAGGCCACGCAGCCAGGAAACGACCACTGGTTTCAGAGCCATGCTCCCGAGTGCTCGGCTGCATGGCCTGGCCTGGGCAGAGGGGCCACACCTGCATGAGCTGGTCGTGCCGGGTGGGGTCGAAATCGTCCTCGAGGTCTCGCTCCTCAAAGCCCAGAGTCTTGTTGCCTGTGACCTGCCGCAGCTTCTCCAGTTTGGCCAGAATCTCCTTCCTCTTCAGGTTCTTCAGCTGCTTAAGTTCCTCCTGCTTTTTTGCCTTCTCCTATGGTAGCAGGCCAGGGGAGACGGAGGGTATGGGCTTTCCCCACAGGCTAGGGGGACCTTCCAAACCCACCACCCCCACACTCACCCTCCTCTTTCGCTCCCGAGTCTCCTCCCTCCTCTCCTTCCTGCGTTCATCCTTGCGACGCACAGAGGACATGATGCTCCGAGGGTAGGTTTTGACCTGTGGGCCACAAAGATGGTTCTGGGCTCTCCCAGTCTGGGCTCCATAGGCCGGCTCCTCCCAAGCCACCAGCCCTGGTCACCCACCAAAGCCGAGTCTGGCTCCTCGAAGCGGAAGTTGTACTTGTGCTCAAAGTCCTCCTGTTTCTTCAGAAACAGCTCCCCCTCATCTGAGGAGTCATCCACAGCCACCTGGACCGGGAGGCCTGCAACCCTGAGGGATGAGATGGAGTGGGGCTGGGGTCAGCCGAGCTCTGGTGTGTCAGCCATATTAACTCACCCAATCCTCCCAAGACCCTGCGGTAGGGTGCCACCATTACCCTCATTGTACAGATGGGGAAACCGAGGCATAGAAGTCTATCAGCACAGTCAGATTCGAACTAGTGCCAACCGGCTCCAAAAGCCCATACTCCGTGGCTCTCCCTCACAGAGGACTGCTATCATCTGTGTGACAAAGTAAACACCCAGTGCCCTCTGCTTTCTGGCCAGCATTGGCTCCAGGCACCTGGCGGGACATGGCTGCTCACCCTTCCTCCTCCTCCTCCTCCTCCTCCTCCTCTTCCTCCTCCTCATAGCGTTTGTTGAGGATATAATCCCGCAGGAACTGCTCCCCTTCATCCAGCTCTGGGTTGTTCCAATATTCCCTCAGATGAGTCTGGGGTGAAGGGGTGATAGGACCCATGTTAGAAACTTGAAGGCAAGGAAGGAAGACAGACGTGGGCACCAAGTGGACTCAGGTGACAAACTTCACAGCCAGCCTATGTAGGTGGGAGGCACTATCCCCATTTCATAGATGTAGACACTGAAGCCCCAAGACGGGCTCACCCTATCTTCAGAGCATGTGCTCTCGGCAACCCCTTCAAGGATTGGTTTCCAGAAAAGGGTTGGATAGAGGCAGGACAGGCAGTATAGTCTTTCGGCAACTATCTGTGGCAACTAACCAGCTCTCTCAGGGTCTCGACATTCTGCATCTCCTTCTGCCCCTTTAGCCATTCGACATAGTCGGCATCCTCCTGGGCCTGGGGGAGGGAAGGCCAGCACTGAGGGTCTGCAGGAGCCACAGCAACCCCTCCTTGCCACCAGCCCCGGTCTGGCGGGCCCCACACCTACCTTCTCCTCCTTGGTTTTAGCGCGTTTCTGCAGCAACCCAGAGCCACCTTCCCCCGCGCTGTCCTCACCTTCACTGTCTTCCACAAATGCCCGGAAGCTGCCGATGCAAGAGAACAAGCCTCAGGACAAGCTGGCTGGCCCCTGCCCACTGCCCCAAGACTAACTCCATTCCCTAAGCCCTGAGCTCTCCCCAAAAAGCTGAGACACAGAGAGTTTTATCGACCCCGTTTAACAGGTCAGGAAACAGGAATGGAGAGAGCAAGTGATGTGCCCAAATACATGCAGCTATTAAGTGACAACAAGGTTTGAACCCAGGCCTGTCCAATCCCAGAGCCTCAATTCCCATCCATTTCGCCACTCGCTACTAGCTCACCTTTCCTTGAGCTGTTGCTGTTCTTCCACGTAACTTTTCGACGAGACCTGCTGCAGAGAGGGTGCCGTGGGCCTCAGGCCCAGCTTCGGGCCCCTCAGCACCCCCGCCTGGCCTCCACCCCACTCACCTGGAGTCTCTGATTGGAGGTCTCCCCGTCTGAATTCTCCTCGTCGACATATTTGCTGTGCGAGGAAGGGTGGGAGTTCAAGACAGATTCCCCACAGCTTGTCTGCCCTAATGGGCTGGGGGGCAGTTACAAGCAGCAAGTGGGGAAGCCAATGGGGTGCAGGCAATCTGCAAGGAGCCTGCTCTCTGAGGATCTCTCCATTCTGGTGAGTCACTGGCTTCTTCCCACCCTTGCCCCTAAGGCCCCCATGTGTCCGCCTGCTAGGGGAAGGAGGACAGGGACTGAGTAGCACGTGTCAGGCTTTCTCCTCACCCTTCTTTCTCCAAGATAACCTTCCTCTCATAGTCCTTCAGGTACATGGGCCGTGCCTTCTTTTGCTTCTCAGCTGCCAGCTCCCCCTCACTCTCCGAGGATGTTGCTGTGGGGCCACCAGAAGACGCCTGCCATCACTCGCAACCACGACCCCCTTCTTTCCCCAGGTAGAGAATCCCACTGGGTTGGGCCAGAGTCACATGGAGGCTTCAAATCCCCAAGCCACCAGTTCCCAGAGGTACCACAAGAGGTATCACACTAGCTACCACCTGCCAGTACCTGGAGATAATAATTCACTCTCTGAATAGTACCACCTGGCAGTACCTGGAGAGTAACTTACTCTCTGAATAGTACCAAGCACACAGTTACCATGAATATCAACAGGTAACAATCTGACACTCTGCTAAGCACTTTTGACATAAAATGATTCATTAAATAGTCACAACAGATGAAAAGGCAATGAGGAACCTGAGCCTTGAGGAGGACCAGCCCCACACCTGTTCTCTGGTAGAAGGTGGCATCTTTCTGATAAATGCGGGGATCCTTCTTCTTTAACAAGGAGAGAGTCCTGTAAAAGTCACGCTCCTGGTGGGGGTCAAATTCCTATGACAGGAAAAAGATCAGGGACACACTTCAGAAGGTAGGTGGTGAGAGCTCTGGTGGGTGCCTGGGCAGGTGGGCTAAGAGAGCATTAAGATTAGGGTGGAGAAAGGGGCATACATTAGGAAGAAGGGGGATACCGCTGGGGAGAGGCAGGTGGAGGTGTGTCAAAGACAAGGAGAAGGGAGGGTGGGCCCCACATAAGTTCAGGGTATGAGACAGAGGAAGGTAGCAGGCAAAGGGAGGGTACAAAGGATTGACATGAGACAAGTAGCATAGGGCACGTGGTAAACAGCAGGAGGGACTAGGCTGCACAGTGAGGTGGGAAGATGTGGTTAATGTGGGGAGAAGCTGGGTGCCCCAAATGGCAGAGACGTCCCTCTTTCGGGACACAGTAGGACACAAAAATGGTTAGATTCTTGGAAGATAAAACGAGGGACAGAGGGATCGCACCAAACACATCTGAACAGGTGGATCCCTGGCGAGGGAGAGGAATGGGGGTATTTGGCAATCCCTTGGGGGACAGGGAGGGCGCTGTCTGTCCCCCCTGGGATTGGGGGCGAGAGGTTGGGCACTTTGGTAGTGCACGGTGGGCTTGAGAGTTAGCCGCCCCCAGCAGTCGGGGTGAGGATGCGGTGGGGGGCTTGAATGACTCTCGCTTGTCCGGGACGGAGAAGAGGAAGCTCACCACGCGCTCGTCGCTGGAGTCAGACTCGGAGCTGGAGTCGTCGCCGCTGCCTCGGTCTCGGTAGCGATCTTTCACTGCGGGGCACAGATGGGAGCCCCCCAAATCAGCCTCGGGGGACCAGATCAACCCCCACTTCCCAACGACCCTGCAGCGCCGTCCTGCGCGCATGCGCCCCGCACTCACGCCGCTGCAGCTCCTCGCGTTCCCGGTAGCGACTGTACCGCGCGGCGAACGCGGCGTTCACCCGCAGGGGCGAGGAACCGCGCGGTTCCGGCATGGCGGCTCTGCGGCCCATTGCGCACGCGTACGGCGAGCGCTCCAAGGAGGCGTGGCTGTTCTCAGCCCCTCCCAACTCGAACTTTAAACAGGTCGGAGCCTGGCGGGCCGCACCTAACCCCGCCCCCTGGTTTTCCGGTATCCCTTACGCCAGGTGACCGCAGTCACCGCCCACGGATCACGCCTCTGCGGGGGAGGCTGCAGCCACCGCCCACCCCACCCCACCCCCTGGGCTCCCGGCACCCAGCTGACATCTGGGGGCTCTTTCTCCACTAGCGGTTTCCTGCCTCCTTTCCGTTCTGACAGCGCAAACCGGTGCCCCACCCAGCTCACTCGCCTCTGGCACCCTGGGAATTACCACCCTCTCCCTTGCCCCAAAGCATCCACGATCCACGACCCCTGTGGCCCCCTCCCCACAAACATTCTGGACGCGCGACTCCCCATCACAGATTCAAAAATCAGAAGCCACCAGCGCTGTGATCGTATACAAGCCTTAATTTAATGGGTACAAACATTAAATGATCACACACAACTATTTTCCGTAAAGCTTAATAAATAGAATCTTTTTTTAACGCTGTACAAGAGACTGGAAAACAAACTTACAACAAAATATGAAGTCATACTACCCTTTTATTCATTTGAAACTCCCCCCTCCCCCATGCTCGAAAGCAGTGTGCACACTTGAGGTCTCTCTCTGGTTACAGCCAGCCAAAGTCACCAGGTTCCAGGAGCTCTGGAAGCGATGACCTCATACTGGGGCTGAAGCTTTAAACGCTCTGCCCTTGGGACTCATCTGCAGCCCCAGCAGTCTGGGGCTTGGAGGAAACTGAACCGTTTAGGTGGCTGTTGCCTGCAGGAGCCCTTCTCTGCCCAGTACACCAAAAGGGGTAAGAAAAATAAGTGAGAAATACCTCCTTAAACACACACACCTCAGAAATCAACACCAACAAGCCACAAACTGGTGCCCTCCACCTTTGGCAGTGGGCAGGAGGAACAAGAAGAGAAAGTGTTTCTTTCCTCTTCTGACGTAGAACCCAGCTGGGTCCTGTTGCTGGAGTGGGTGGCCTCGGGTCACAGCGATGCCACCGTGTGCCCCTGCAGCATGTCCATAAGATCGTGAGCCCCTCTTCCCTGTGCCAGCTCGAAGGGTGTGAGCCCCCTGGCATCCCTGTGATGGAGGTCGGACTCAGCAGCTAGGAAGCTAACCACAGTCGTGTGGCCCTCTAGCACCGCCAGATGGATGGGAAGCGCCCCGGTGTCATCAGGTAAGTTGACATCAGCTCCGTGCTCTACCAAAACCTTCAGTGTGTCAAGGAATCCAGTGCGGGCTGCATCATGGGCTGGAGTGGTGCCAGAGGCGTCCTGGACATTGGGGCTGGCACCTTGTTTCAGGAGCTCCAGGGCAATGGCAGGGCTACCAAACATCATGACCTGTGTGGGGGCAGAGAGTAGGGGTTCCTCAAGGGATGGGTTCCAGGAAAAAGGGTCATTGGAGAGAGGGGTTATTCAGTAATAGGGAACACCAAAGAAGAGATTCTCTGGAGAATGGGAAAAGCCCAGGGAACACAAGTCCCCAGGCAGCTGTTTGAGACCCCAGAAAACAAGGCTCCTAGGAATAGGGACCCTCAAGAAACTAGTCACCCTCCAAAGGATAAGACACACACCAAGGAATAGCCCCCATGGAAACTTTCAACCTAAGACCCTCCTCAAGGAACCAGAGGACTCCTCCCTTACATAAGAGAAATAACCAAGAAATACAACACCCCCTCCAGGAAAGTGGCCTCATAGAATGAGAACTGCACCCCCCAAAAGAACTTGACAGCCCCCTGAAGAGAAAGGAGATGCCCAGGGAATCTGAAACCCCTTCTCTCCGAGGAATAACCCCTCCCATGTAATTGGAGTGCTCCCTAGAGCACTTGAACCCCACAAGAAGTGGGGTTCTCCTGTAAAATGATTCCCAGGGAATAACTATTCCCCACTGGGACCCCTCATAATATACCAGAAATACGAAAAACACCAGGGAGATTCCCACCCCCCAGGGAGATTCCCTCCCCCCCAAGAAACTGTATACTTCTCAGAGAATCCCCTAGAAAATAAGAACGCCCTGGAGCCATGAATCCCTTCTTCCATCGATCTGATACCCCCCACCCCCCGCATAGAAGCCCAAAGAAACCAGAGCCGTGCCCATGAAAACGGAATCCAAAGAAATTAAACCTTCACTCATGAAATAAGAACCTCCCCAGGGAAATTGGATCCCCCGCACCCAGAGAACGAGGAATCCTCCAGAGATGGAAAGGTTTTCCCTCCCCCATCCTAACCCCATCCACCACCCACCTTCCAAAGGGGACAGGGAGAAACGTCAGCCGAGAGACGGAGAAACGGAACCCAGTCAGCCACCACCAGGGCCAGGAGACGAGAGGAAAGGGGTCTGGGATTCCAGTCCTCGGCCCGCCCTCGCTGCCAGACAGCCCGGCCTCACCTGTAGTGCGGTC